CTTCTTTCAGGGGCGTACGGAAAGAATTTTTGAGATGCACCAGAAGGGATCGATAGGTTGTCGATAGAAGGAACGCAGGATACCAAGTTTGGTGAAGACGACGGAAGACGAAAGCGTGGACTGCAGCGAATACGTTGATATTGGGCGCGCCGGAAGTGATTTCGCCTTCAAGGAAAGTAAGCATGACGTCTGGGACATCGATGCGCTTGGGTCCTCCTTCTCCCAGATAAGACTCGTAAATTCGCGTTGCCTGCGTTACAAGCGAGGGGCCTCCACCGGCGGCAAGCTCAAATACCTCGACTTCTAGCCAGAACAAGAGAAGATGGGACTGCCCATGCTTGCTGAGGAAGTCCAAGAAATAAGGCATCCATCCTGGGTCTATAAATAAAGACGTATGAAATTATATTATGGGCTTTTCACTGCTTCTTTGCTGCTTTTTTATCCATACGCTGTCGTGATTGCACACTGTTGATGATGTGAAGAAGATGGTGAGCAAAAGGGTAAACGTACCATCTATCAGGTGCTCAAAAGAGATCGATGTGCGAATGTATTTGTCCCCCATCAGCGCCTAGACGGCTTTGACACCTGTGTAAAGCCATATGCGTGTAGAAATTCGGTAAAGATCTTATACTTTTCCAATGCTGGCCCCGGAAACCATGCAAGCGATGTATTGAAGAAGAAATGCTACGCCGATGGCGGTGCTGCTTTATTCCTTCACCAAATTTCCTCGTCGTCACCACACGTCAATCAAGCGCATGCCCAGTAGATCCAGACACTAGCGAATGCAGCAATATTGAAAGTACCAACACGCATGCGGACCTTGCAGGGCATGCTGCTTCGCACAAGTGTGGCAGAGCCTGGTCACCTTGAGCTTGACGCACGCGTGCGTGTCCGTTGAGACGTTACAGAACCGTTGGAGCCGTGAGGTTTTATGTTCCTTGCGCGTGAAACTTTTCCTTGTAAATAGGATTAAATTGACGTGGACGAGTAATTGAACGATACATTCTTTGTTTGATTATTTTTTGGGGTAGAGGTTTACGCGTAAAAACAAGAACACAATGGTAAAATAATGACACAGTAATTTATATAATACGTATATACCCTTCCGCAGAGAGAAAATATAGGAACTACGCGGTCACCCGTTGGTATCCTCTCCGCTGAAAAACAAAAAGGCCAAATGCAGCATACACGTTTCGTCACAACAAATGGTTTGTTGGTTCCACATTTTATCTCTCCTCCCCAAGTCATTAGAAGGATACCTTGCAATCACGCATGCCAGTGTTGAAAACTTTCTTCTCTCCTTATTTTGTGAAAAAAATAGCATCTTACGGTTTAGATTTGAAAGCCTTACATCTGAATCGGATGTCTCAATCCACATTTCGTGGCAACAAGCTTTTTGAAGAGAAAAAGTGTCGTGAGAGTGGGCAGAAGCCAAGGTTTTCCTTCCTTTATCAAAGGGTGAGAATGTTCTACACTCATACCTTCGTCGAAAAGACATGCTAAATTTCTTCTTTTGAAACAAAATTTAGGCAAGCGACGAGATTGGCAAGGGCCTCGCACCCATTACTTCATCCCACACCGGCAGCCCTACCGATCCGCATGTCGTTGCTTCCTCTTCTAGCGAAATTCTGAGTAATGTCAATACTATGGCAAGTAGGAACAAGTATTTCAAGGATGAGGCAACAGGTGAAAGTAAAGAAAGTAAATCAGGAGGGGTGGCCGAAAAAAACCCGGCGAAATACTTTCGGGCCTACCGTCACGAGACCAAGGTTGAAAATGCACTCTATCGGACAAGTCAAAGCGTGATTGGTGCCCGTCCACCAACGATCGCAACAATAGTAACGGAAACACACAAATTTCCTCAGCCTTTCAGCAAGTCTTTGGGATCATTATCGTACAGAAATCAGGTATGTATTTGGCGTGTGAAGTGGGGCTGCGGCGCGGAAGGCCTCCAAAAACCTTGCACATTCCGCATTGCACTTATAAAGATCTGTTTTGTTTTGTTTGAGGGTCCTGAGAGGTGTGCTCATCGTTTTTATTCTCCATCTCCTTCCATATTTTTAGAGTCTCAACACGACTAAATCTCGCTCCAAGATCCATCGCAGTCTGGATCCTCAGTTCTAAATTTCAATTACTGTGACAGATTCGTGATTGATTCTGAAATGGAAGGTCGTGGAACGTACTTTCTTATTTTCGTCGCTGCTCCGGATATTTATCTAGGGAGATAATTTACGTAATGGTGAAGTAGAGAACGCTAAGACTGTGTCTGAAAGGGCCTTAATCCTTTTTTTAAAACAAAAAAAATGATTTATCAGTACCTAAGCGTCACAAACAATCAAATGTTCAATTGTTTGTGCGGGAGGGGGAAAGAGCAGAGGAGGTTATTGTGGGCCGACTACCGTCAGGCCTGATCTGGCACATGTGAGACGACAAAACGTTTATTCATGTCCTCTCGCGCACGAACACAATTCCTACAAGCAGCAGTGTCGTCCAGGATCTTACGGCACAATTTCCATGTCCATGTTTCCAAGCAAGGACTTGCATGCCTCCCCGCTGTAACGCCCACTGTTTCCTCGCTCCTTTCTTCAGCGACGCCCGCCGTCCCTCCCCCCGGTGAGAAAGGGAGACATAAAAGCCATTGCTTTTGCCCCTTTGTAGCCCCAGTTGGCATGAAAAAGGTTGAAAAGGGATTTGAGAGACTTTCTGGTCCGATAATCGGCTTTGCTGCTCCCTCCAGTCTCAGCTGAAGGCTTCAAGTGGGTATAAATTTGCGCTTCCCCCATTATTTTATGCTCACAATTCTTGCTTACCAGATCCCCCCACTTCCCTGCCTGGTTCAACACTTTCTCGAGTCCGCAGGTACACCTGGTATCTCTGCTTTTGAACATATGATAGATCAGATTGAATCTCATGCATATGTCTCGTCTCATTCACAAATCTAGGGAGACAGAGCCGAATTCGCAAGTGGTGGCGGCATGACGACTACTATGGAGAGTGACGGGGGTAGCGTTATGATGGAAGACATACAGGAGAACGACAAGGTAAGCAAGGCCTTCCTCGCGACTTAGATACTTGAAAGAAAAACTCGCTAACATGTGCCCCCTTGACCGCAGCAATCGGAATTGAAACCTGGCATAATGGGAGTGCGAGGGAGCCTCAGGAGTCGAAGACGTGAGGGGGAAGAGGATGCGGATAGCAACGCGAATAACAACAGCAACGCAAGCGTTAATACTACGATTATAAATGCGGGACATAATGACAAGGAGTCGGTAGGGCGTAGCAGCGCGCGGATAAAAAATAGTGCGGAACGAGACAGCACATCTAGTGGTCCTAGTGGCAACACGACAAGCACGAGCGCAGGCAGCAACAAACGCAGCAAAGTAGAAGGTGTCGGTAGTGGTGGGGGGAAAGGGAAGCCGGTGGAACGTTGGCGGGCGCAAAGAATGGCGGAGGACTACGTGAATCTCGTCGGGGATCTCATGTACCCCAAAGTTTCTTTTGGTCCTTATGGCTATGACATGGCCAAAGGGGAAATCCCGTTGGAAAGACCCAACACCTTGGGCGTTCTGATGTGCCCTGCACGACGACGGACGGTGATGGAGCACTGGAGCCCTTTCGAGGTGGCATGCTTCGAAGGTGCCATAGTCTTGGTGGGTAAGAACTTTTATGAGATCTCCAAATTGCTTCCGAGCAAATCCACGAAGGAGTGCATTGAGTTTTACTACGTCTGGAAGATGACCAGCCACTACCAGCAGTGGAAGCGAAGTTTTGAGCCCCTGGACCCCCATCCGTTCTCGATTTTGCCTCCGGATGAGTGAGAAAGTTTCAGGGGGGTGCAATCCGAGCAAGAGAGAATGGAGGCGCAAAACATGTGGGTGGACGACAGGCCAATTTGTACATTCAAAATGTTAGATTGAGTGACGAAAAGATCACGATTAATGGAAAAAGAGGTAAAGCGGTCAGAGGTAGTCTCTACAATGACAAGAGACGGGTGAGGACGAGACGAGGGGGTAACAGAAGAGCATCTGTCTTTGTGAGGGACGGAGAAAGATGAGAGCGTACATGCGACAGACTGGAAGGGACGCAGCTTTGACAGATAAGTGGAAGTTGTATTTCAAAAAGCTACGGAAAGGAGAAACACTTCCAGCGAATATTGTGCAATGTCATCTCACGTCCTTGATGGCAAGATCCTTTTCTATCTTTTCTTTTCATTTCTCCTTCAGTGAATGGCACACCGGCTCGGTAAACATGCCTTCTAGATTAGCTGCCTCTATACCTGCGAGTGCACAGTATTCGTCCTCGTCCGCGCTGGCGCCACTGACTCCCACCGCCCCCACAACCTTCCCTTCCCTTGCTCTGATGACAACACCACCGGGGAAAGGAGCCATCTGGCGCAAATAGGAAAAGCAGAAGGTCGAAGCATGGCACAAAGGAGGAGAGAGAAAAGTAAGCCTCAAATGTGCACAGAAATCGAGAATAATTCACTAAACATCGAAACTTACCTGGCCACCAGTCACATCTATCATGCCCAGCATTTGACAATACTTAGTTGGGTCCTTGGCAATCGTGTATTTGTCCCGAAAAGCACGCGTGGATACACCCAGCGAAATACAAGTAAAAGCTTTAGCATGCGCAAATTTGGGGAAAGCTGCGGGGGCACAATCGTCCATACGCTGCATTGCTATAGGATGTCCGGTCGGATCCATCACTACTATCGTGATAGGGGCGAAGCCCTTTGTAAGGCATGCAGCGACTGCATTTTCGCAAATTTGGACCGCTTGTGCCAGCGACAACATAATTGTTAATGGCTGTTTTTCCTTCCACTGGAAAGAAAGAGCCGTGAGGATGGATGGTGCCTACATGTTAGATGTTTGCGTTTTGGATGTTCAACAGATCGGGTCGTTTCGTAGCCGAGCATCGTTCGTCCAAAAGAGAAATGAGAGGAAAACAGCGAGGGCTCACTTTTTTTTCCATGATAAAACGACGCATGCTTTCACACTTTCTTAATCGGACAACCCCTTCCTAGTGGCTGTATGCGGTCTGCTGTGCGTGAATTCTCAACGCGGCGGCTCCAATTACCGAAGCCGGTGCGCAGACAAGGGAGGAGGTTTTTCATGAACATCAGCAAGCACAGTCCTGCATTGAATCGTCCCATGATAGCCAAAGGCGACCCATTTGGTCGCCCTGCACAGGCGGAGGGCTACTCAGCATTTCGTCCGAATTATCCCGACGCGTTGATGGCAGGTGTGGAGGTCATTCTTCGTGCACAGGGGTGTATGGATAGCAGGGCAAAGGATGGGAGCATGCTAGTCGATATTTGTACTGGCTCGGGGCAAGTATTAAGGAAACTAGCAAGGTATTTCGACCACGCCAAGGGTGTTGATCAAAGCGCTGCCCAATTGACGAACGCAACCAAAGGATCCAACGTTGAATATTTGCAGGCGGATGCACTTTCAGTTCCTTTGCCAGATGGCAGCGCATCGGTGGTAACATGCGCTCAAGCAATGCACTGGTTGGATATTCCATCCTTTCTGAGAGGCGTGGATAGACTCCTCCGCCCGGAAGGAGTCTTGGTCGTACTTGGGTATCCCAGGAGTCACATTCCTAAGATGCCACAGGCCGACGCAGCCATGATCGAATGGTACGCGTCACTGGACGATGTCTGGGATTGCGATCGGGCCCTGCTGGACATGGAGTTTGCGGGGACAGACTACACTCCCTTCGTCCAATTTAGCAAGCAGAAGGTGGAAGAGACGCACATGATGAGTGTGGAGCATTTGGTCGGTTATTTGGACACATGGTCGTCCTTCAGGACGTGGAAGGAGCACCACCCAGACGTGAATCCAGACACATTGCAGGTGCTGAGCGCGCGCTTGCAGGCAGCTCTCGCAGCAGAGGGAGAGGGCAGGACCCTGTTGCCTGTGGAATTCTCTTTTTTTGCCATCTTCTTGCGGCGTCCTGGGGATGGTAGAGCATCGAAGTGAGGAGAACGTCGCACAGTTTTGAGGCCCATTGGTGTGTGCCTGTACGCGGGAAAGAAATATCTGATTGATGGTGATATCGCTACTTATGGCTGCCGCGTATAGAACTGATGGCAGGAAGACACTTTCTCTGGTTTCTTTGCAAAATTACCCTCTCACCCATACCGCAGAAAAATATCGTACGCGTAAAAAACGCACCTTGCATTCCTCCAATGCTGCATTTTTAACCAGCTACCCTTTTCTCTGCTTCCCCGCTGTACGCCCCCTGCCAGCTGCCCTCCCACTGCCCACTGCCTCTCCCCTCCCACGCCCACCTCTCTTATCACCACCTCTTCCCCCCCGTTTGGCCATCGTCGCTCTCTGAATGGTCCCCCTGTTCAAAAATAAAGTTCCACCTTTCATCTTCCCGAGTACAGGGTAAGGCGTCTCACCGATCTTGCCGCTACTGTCATGCTTCCGTCTACCGCCATCGTCTAGAATCTGGTTTGCAAGTGCTGCCGCAGATTGCCGCTTTTTTGCCACGACCACACCCGATTCGCGAATGTCATTGTCACGGCGTGCATCACGTTGTTTTGCTTTTGCACGTTTGCCCATCAGAATATTGAATGGAGTCTTGATGGCCGCGGGTGCTTTGCCTCCCAACTCGACAATCCGACGTGCATCGTAGGCTTTTTTCTCGTAGCCCGTCAATTGCATGGCTCCGAGATCCATCACGCTCTTCCACATCTTCTTAAACTCTGCCCGTTCTGCCGCATTGTTGCCATTAGACAAAGCGCCACCTGAGCGGGCGCGTTTATATGAACCATTGGCTGCCTCATCTTGTCGCTCTCCTTGCTCCCGTTGAAGCTGCAATTTGTACTCGTAAGGGGAGGGTATTGAGGGCGCAACAACCACTTGAACAGGCGGACGAGGGCGCTTACCAGCCATGATGTACCTTCTCTGTGTGTAGGTGCGTGCAGTTGCGTTGCGTTATGGTGCGCCTTGTGTGCGGTAAAAAAAGACGCGATCGAGGTCTGTACCGTACGTCCACGGGCTGGCGCCAGGTGCTGCCCAAGGGAGGGAGGGAAAATAAAATACGAACTTGAGCGCGAGCACGCTGGCACTCGGGAAAGGGTGCACTTCTTGGATGGACACCAGTAGTAAGTTTGCATGTGGCTTGATTGCAGGCGCTCGTATGCTTGCGCATGTATTAGGATAATCGCCATGTCATTTTTCCAGTCCCATCATTGTTAGTTATCCTTACTGTCAACACCCAATACGTGCCACAGGCCATGTCTGCCGAAGCCCATCTAGACATAAAGGGAGGCGCCGAAGAGCTCCTCGTCGCTGTGAGCAAACCAAAGTACATTGAGACCCTGGCCCTATCATCTAAAGACCATTGGGACACATTTTTGGCACGCGTCCGTCAAGTGACTACTGCAGAAACGGCCACCAGCAGTAAGAAGGCAAAGCAACGAATTCGTGCTCTTCTCAAAGTTTGTCAGCTATGTCTGCAAAAACTGGCCAGCATGGCTATGACATTAAAAGAGTCATCTTCAGAAGGTAGTCTAGAACGATTTTCCATCGTCCTCTACCACGCAATATCAGTGATGGTGCACGCTCTGGAACCCCGAGTCGCAGGAAGCTGTGGTGAGACTCCATCAATCCAATACATAGCGGCTGGTGGTAAGCTAGGTTTTGAGAAAATTTTGTACCATGCTATCGCACGAGGTACGGAATTGGGACAGCATCGTGATGTCCAGGCTTTCACGCGCATGCTCGCAAGAAGGGTAAAGCTGATAGCGGGGGAAAGCGCAGCGGACGGCTGCGGGACTGTCCCAGAGAGCTCCATTTTGGGGGTCAAAGAAGACCAATGGAACGGGAAAGGTACTGTCCGTAATCCACTCGCCACGAAGAGGAATGAAATTTTTCAATCCTCCAATAGCCAGGGTAAAAAAAGCATACACACCAGTGGCACAGACCCGGCCGCCCCTGTTTCCTGCCAATCCACACCTCGTTCTGCCGCCCCCGACCGCAATGAGGACAAATTGTCGACCGATTCTAAAGTTGATTATGGCTTTGGTCGTCCCACGCACACCTGCGACTCCACATTGATCAGCACGGTGTGTGGAGCATCCATAAACGGCTTGCGGTCCACGGTGGAGAACTTCGCAGCCATGGCGGCTCCGGGCACGCCGTTAGACAAGGATGAATATCAACCTGGCCGAGAATGCACGGGAGACAGAGCGATGGGAGCCCATGACTTCTCCATACAAGTAGAGGAAATCATCTGGGAGTGCTTGCCATGGATCAAAGCACTCAGAAGTCGGGGCAGCGTCAGCAAAGAAAGAGGTGTCGAGGGTGCGGGGGAGGAGGCGACTTTAGCATCTAGAGACATGGACATGGCCGACGAATATTCGGAACGCCTCTACCACGCAGTGCAGAAAGCAGGGGTGACGCTGGATAGGATCGGTCGGCGCGGAGAGGGGGGGATGGAAGGGAGAGGAGGCAATTACCAGGACGCTTTCCGCCTTCGGTCCCGGCTCGTGTCCTTGGTAGCAGAAACCGGCGTCCCGTCAGTACAGGCGTTCATCCCTCAACTATGGCGGGCTGGAGTCTTTTACGAGAAAGCTGCGGTGGCCACAGCGGCGCCCAAAGGAGCAAGGCAGGGTAAAAAAGGATCAGAGAATGAAGCTGTCGTGTCTAGTTCGAGAGCGCTATTGCTGGACGTCCTGGGCCTGTACGAATACGCAGCCCAACGCTTGCTTTTCGGCCAACAAACAGGAAGCAAGGAATGGGCAGCGAACAGGGTGGCTGCAATGCAGGCGGACGGGCTCAGAAGGGAAGGCGAGGACAGCTGCGCGCTTTCCTCTTTTCCTTCTTCCTCCCCTTCCCCCCCTCCCTCCTCTTGGGCCCTTCATGTGGAAGTCTTGGACTGGCTCCGCCACTACACCACCTTGTGTCTGAAAGTGGAAGAGCCTGAGCGGGCCGTGAGTCTCCTGCAGGAAGCTAGCCAACGGTGCCGCAGCAGTGGTGAGAAAGGTGAGGGAAGCGAGAAGATGTACAGGTCAGAGCCGATGGAAGACACAGGCCTGCTCCTTACTTTATCCCGCGGGATTTTACGTGTGATCGCAGCTACTGTATGTTTGCAGCAGCGGCAGCAGTCAGAATTGTCCCCGTTGAAAGCGAATTGCTCGAAGAGCAAGCGAGATAGAAGTATCGGACAGGGTAAGCGCACCCGGCGCAGGAATGACGGCGGAATGAAAGTAGCCCTTGATCTGATGGCCGCGGCATTAACAGACATTGCTAGCGCCAAAAACCCCTTATCCATTAGCCCCAACGGCGACAACAGCAAAGGCAAAGGAGAATGGAAGGGTGCAGAAAAGGGAATTAGAGCGGAGGCACACGAAAGCTTCCCTGTAAGATGCAAAGCTCACCTGGTCCGCACTTGGCGGGCTTTGGCTCGCTTGCCCGCTGTGCTTCCCTCAATTGTCATGGCCGATTCGTACCTTTCTGAGCCAGTGATTGGTCAAGTGCTTATACGAGCTTACATGGCTTTGGCTGACACCGCGCGTATTCTCCTGTTTTGGGATCAGAAATCCTGCGACAAATCCATCCGAACCAATTTAAGTACCAAGAGCAATCCAGATCCCAACCTCAAAACCACTTTCCTCGAAGGCCTTCTTCGGGCAGCATTATTGCTTATAAACCTCTTCGTGGACAACACCAGCAGCGATTGCGCCATTCCTTCATTGCCCTCTCTTCGACCTCTCCCGTCGTGGTTAGGGTTAACGCGTGACTGCGACGACCCTGCGTTGATGGCCATGGCGTGTCTACGGCATGTCGAGGATGCCATCAACACAAATGAAACAGGCAAAAGCAGCAACAGCAATCAAATACAGCGAAGATTGGGCTCCGCGTTCTTCTCCTTGGGGCGTGCTCTCATCAACTCGTCGTCCCTCACTGCTCGTTCGGATACATCAAAGGAAAAGCGGCGCTCGCGTCTGCTGTTGGGGCTAGGGCCGCTGGCACGAGGATGCCGGCTTCTCGAAAGGGAATGCTCTATGAGAACTTCTCCATCTAAATCCCCCTCGTCCCCCGAGCCACAGCGTCAGAATCCATTTCAACAGCTTCAAATCGACATGCGATATGCAACGCTAGCAGCCGCCTTCAAAGACGTTGGTGCTGGGCGTATGGCCATGCGGGTAGCTGTCCACACCTTGTCTTTGATGTATCAGCATTGCTCCATCTCCGCTGATTCTCAACGGGACTCCCCCTCGGGCCCGACGTCTTGTGTGTCTCTGTCCAGAACTTTGCTCCGAAAATTGGTCCACTGCTACAAAGCGCCCTATGTTCTTGACGAACAAAGCCTTCAGACAGCTCTACAGAAGGAAGCTCGCACGCCTGAATGGTGCATGGCAGAGCTCCACCAGTGGAGAGATTCTGAGGAGGAGACAAAGGAAATGCACGCGGTTTTATGCCTATCCCTCCCTTCACTCGTGGTGCCACCAGTTTTGCGGGAAGCTGTGGCCAAAGCAGAAATGTCAGCGTATGTTGCGATGGTGCACGCCGCGCTCAATGAAGAGGCGCAGGTCAGTTCAGACGCAGAACAAGAAGAACGTCACGGAAGTCAAGCAGCCGAGCATATGTGCGGTGTCGTTCTGGCTCACCGGTGTTGTCGTGAGAGTGGGCTGGTAAGTCCACTGTATGCCAGTGTGGAAGGAGCAAGGATGGCACGCATTCTGTGTCACGCTCCTAAGGAGAGATGCAGATTGTTTTTATCGAAACTTGAGCCAGAAATACGTGAAGAAATCGCTGGAGAAGGAGCAATGGAGTTTTGGGTGGAGAGTTTGGATAAATCTTCCTTGCAGCCGATGGAGAGGTGTTTGGCTCCCAAAAAAGTCTACGAGGAGGCCTTGGTGCACGGAATTCGTGGCCTGATTTGTGCGGAGAATGATAAGAGAGAGGAAGCTGGTGTAGCAGTAGATATGGCGTTGCAAGCATGGCGACAGCTCTGTTCGATCGGGAGGGGGGAAACGCAAAAGGAGCGATGGGAAGAAACAGAGGTGCTGCGAACGATAGATTTTTCTGTCACTCGGCAATGTTTCGGAGCTGTGCTTGACCAGCTGAGCGTGGATGGGCCGTCCCTACGCCAAGCCCAAGTCCTGGAGACGGCAATGTATCTCGATCAGAGAGGATACTTTGGGCAGGGAGGCGGAAGCCGTAGAGGCAACATGAAGACCGCTGAAGAGGAATTGCTCGTTTCAGTCGTGACTACACTATTCTCCCGTTTGGAGCTGGCCGCATTCTCGGAGGCTCATGCCCAGACCATTCCCTGGACAGGACTTTCCAGGCGCTCCGTGCCAGATGTGGACATCGTTCCATTGCACATGACCGAATTCGACCGCCCCCCACCTTCTCATTTGCTTTCCTCTGGTCAAGAGCTGAGTCCTGAAGCAGTTCTCGAAGATGATCTGGGCGAGAGTTTTCTGCAGAGTCTCTCATTGCTTCGAGAGACTGACCATCTAATATCGAATGGAAATTTGCCTATGGCTTTGTCCAGGCTTCGAAGATTAGCAGCGACTTGTCAGGGGCTTTCAGCTCCTTGTAGTGAGGATCAAGCCGCCAGGATGGAAAATCAAAGCGGAGGGGAGGAAAGTTTGCCCTTTCTGAAAGAAACGAGTGAAAAATTCGTGAGCACAATAGTTGACGATGAAGCCGAAAGAAGCCAGGACCGGAGGACACGTTCTCTAAAGGAGGAGGTGTTTGAAGGAGAGGGTGCCAACCTTCGTCCTCCTTCCCGGCACCTTCCCCCTGAAAGGTCCACGGACTTTCTCTCATCAATCCTTAAAGCAGGAGGATGGCGACGCAGCTGGTGTCTCCCCGAATGTCTGTTACGGATGGGTCAGGTGTGGGAGCTTCTGGGTAATGGTGGGAAAGCCTCATCCTATTACAAGAAAGCCTTGTC